TCCTTTCACACCAGCCTCCCCCTTCTCATGCTAGGAGCCCCTCTTCACATCAAGAGCCCCCTCCTTTCACATCAGAGTCTAACTTTACATTAGATGCCCCCCTTCACATCAGTGTCTCCCCTCTTCAAAATCACCGAGGATTTGGTGAGTATTTCTTCTTTATTCCATCCTCTAAAGAAAAACAAGCAGTTAACCCTTGCAGTACAGTCGTAGCCCCACTGCAAGGGTTCACTTTTAAAAATCCTGGAGTTCTTTTTAAGCTGGCCATACATCTTGCAAATTTTAGTTGAGCCGGCCAAAATTCCCTCAGTGGCCGGCCCTATCAACAGCCTTCTGCCCGACATCCTTTGATCTAAATATTGAAGGAGCAGGGTGCAAAATTGTCAGCCGGACAGTGACTGCAGCCAATCGGCTGTAGTTGCTCTTCGGGTGTGCTGGCAGTGGAGGGCACCGGCTGTCGGAATACAATAAACCAGCAGGAAATTCCTCCATCCATGTTTAGCATAGGTGGAGTTTCTTTACCTTCAGCCTGCTGGCTGAACAAACAAAAATCTAACAGTGTATGGTCAGCTTAACTGGCCAGATCACCAGGAGAAAATCAAAGGGGAAACAAGCCTCAAAAAGAAAACGAATGCAGCCACCACATTTAAAGGAGAAGTATTGAGAGAGTAAAATATTCAGTACTCTTCCCAATACTTAGAGCTGGTGTGGGGCATTGCATCTGTCACATGATGGCTCTATACTGAGAGCTGAGTAATCATGTGACCACTGATTACTCAGCTCTCAGCTTCTCCCTGCAGAGATCAATGACTGTCAGTCACTGCTCCCTGCAGGGATTCCCCCCTGCCCTCTCTGTTCCCCCAGCAGTCAATTGAGGGACAGACAGGGGAGGGGGTGGGCACAGCTGGCTCTAGAGAGGAGGGGCCAGATGTCAATCAATTAGCCGGGTGGATCCCGACAATACTGTAGGGCAGGGGTAGCCAAACTCTGGCCCTCCAGCTGTGGTGGAACTACAAATCCCATGAATACCTATCGCCCGACGCCTGAGACATGCAGTTTCGGGCGCCGGGCGAGTAGTTTTTTGTACATTCAGCCCTGCTCCTGACAAGCAGAGCTGAATGTACAGTGGGAGCCGCTGCTCGTTTAATACAAGTGATTTAGTTAGATCACTTGATTTAAATCGAGCGGCGATCGTGTCCGCCCCCCGGCCTGTTTTTTGGGGATCCCCGCTCCTCTGGGGGACCGTTGCCACGGTCCCCCATAGGAGCTCACCATAGAGCCCCTTGAGCAGACCACGAACGTCGTTTTTCGTCTGCTCTGTGTGATTACTGAGACAGCGCCACCTGTCTTGGCGGTCACTAACTGCAGCTTCTTTTTCCCCTGCTAGTTAGTTTTGTTTTTTTATTGTGAAGGTGGCCGACGGCCGCTGTCAAAATAAAAAAAAACAGAGAAGTTACCTCCCTGAAATGAGAACGTACCTCCCTGAAATGAGAAGAGCACCTCCCTGAAATAAGGTTTTGCAGGTTGGGATGTCTGCCTTATAGAGCGCAAAATTCGGTATATGCCGAGTTTGGCTCACAGAAGTACATTAGTAAATATACTCCTGTGACCGGAAAGAGAACCAAAGCCAAAAAAAAAAGGTTTGGCTGTACTTCTCTTTCAAGGATTGGTAAGCGGCAATATATTACGTTTTTGCTTTTGGGTTTAGAGACACTTTAAGTCAGCAGCTCAGAAGAAGAATGGAGCACATGAAGGTCACAGAAATATCCGGAATCTCTGTACTCGGCCTATGCCAGTGTCTCACAAAGTATTACATCCATAGATTATCATGAGAGCCAAGCAAATAGCACATTCAAAAGGAGAGGTCAGCAGTGTCAGCCTCATATTTCTATTATGACAGGTGCACTTTAGATACAACCCAGAGTGGTGCAATAAGAAAACGTGTGTAGGAGAGAGTCTGTCAGACTTGATGCATTGCAGAATGCAGGGGAGGGAATGATCAGTGTAGGAGGCTGGGACGGAAGGTAGAATGGTGCTGGACACACATCAAGGTGCAGACACATGAAGCCTTCCAGACCACATGTCTGGATTGCATTAGTGCCAACCCCCAGTCCTGCTACTCTGCATCATCTCATCAGGGCCAAATGGGCAAGAGCCCAGGCCAGCTCCTGTTACCAGGCTTCTTCCAGGAAGAGGCTTTATGAGTAGAATAGTAAGAGCACCACTCGGGGTGAAAGCCGAGGTCAAGATTCCAAAATAAAAAAGATAAGGAGCAGACCGTCTTGTCATTTTTTGTATAAATGTTCTTTTAATGCTTGGATACAAAGAGTGTTATTTACAGCATTATAATAACAAGCGTGATCCCGAAATGTGATCCTGCTGGATTCTGTCTTTGCTGGCAGGCGGAATATGCAGAGACTTTACGGCTACGTACGGCTGGATGTTAAAATGGAGCAACTGACACCGGTTTCCAGAGTGTGCCAACTGCTCCCTAGCACTGCTTGAGCCATATGGATCAGTAGACACGGGAGCGGAGTGAAACGATTGCTATGCATCATGTTATAACTGAAGCCGATTGCAGTGACGGTCAGCGATCATTTAAAGGGACTGTACTTTTTTTTTTCCCCAGAGGATCTTAGTACTAAAAAATGAAGAGTTCCATCATCCACAGAGGCAGAAGGACTTGTTGTTTCAATGGAATACAAGTGCGGTGATGTCACCACCCTTGTGGGTTATTGAGATTTCCTCCCATCCATTTTACTGCATGTCCGAGAATATGCAGGAGACACAGCATTGCACCTGCGAGCTGCTGATCAAGGTGCCAAAAAATAATAAACGCTCATTTTTTCTTTTATGAAGAAGTGTCCATTTATTATTATTATTATTTTTTTTTGCAAAAGATGGAATTTCCCTTTAAGAAGAGATCAAATAGTATTATCTCCATTTACAGATCCAAAGTATGGGTGGAGCCACATACAATCATGCCTACTTATGAAAGGGAAATAAGCCTGTAAGGAGAAGAACCCCCCGATTCAGGTAAGGGGGGTAGGGATCTTACCATGTGTCATGTTACACCCTATCGCTATGACTAAGCCCAGGATTGGATTAAAAATGTCCGAGGGGGCGGACCTCGGGCCGAAGAGCCTTATGATTCAGGTAAGGGGGTAGCAATCTTACCATGTTACACCCTATCTCTATGACTAAGCCCAGGATTGGGTGAAACATGTCAGAGGGCGTGGACATTGGGCAGAAGAGCCTTATGATTCAGGTAAGGGGGGTAGCGATCTTACCATGTTACACCCTATCTCTATGACTAAGCCCAGGATTGGGTGAAACATGTCAGAGGGCGTGGACATTGGGCAGAAGAGCCTTATGATTCAGGTAAGGGGGGTAGCGATCTTACCATGTTACACCCTATCTCTATGACTAAGCCCAGGATTGGGTGAAACATGTCAGAGGGCGTGGACATTGGGCAGAAGAGCCTTATCATTCAGGTAAGGGGGGTAGCGATCTTACCATGTTACACCCTATCTCTATGACTAAGCCCAGGATTGATTGAAAAATGCCTGAGGGGCTTATCTTGGGGCAGAAGAGCTCCATGATTCAGGTAAGGGGGGTAGCAATCTTACCATGTTTAATGTTACACCCTATCTCTATGACTAAGCCCAGGATTGGATGAAAAATGTCCGAGGGGGCGGACCTCGGGCCGAAGAGCCTTATGATTCAGGTAAGGGGGTAGCAATCTTACCATGTTACACCCTATCTCTATGACTAAGCCCAGGATTGGGTGAAAAATGCCTGAGGGGCTTATCTTGGGGCAGAAGAGCTCCATGATTCAGGTAAGGGGGGTAGCAATCTTACCATGTTTCATGTCACACCCTATCTCTATGACTAAGCCCAGGATTGGGTGAAACATGTCAGAGAGGGCGGACCTCAGGCAGGACTCAGTGTCACTGACGAGCTTTCAATAAACTGATTCAGTGGAACAGAATGTGGCCGGATTCTTCCTTTACTAGCATGAAACATGGTCAGAAAGTTGAACTAGGCCTTTAATTAAGTAAATATGAAATACCGCCTGGAAGTATACTTGCAGCAGGCGCAAACCTCCATGCAGCCAGATCTGTAATCATTTAATGCATTTTTTAATGCAAGCATTGTAAATACCTCATCTTGACGGTACAGATGCACGGATAGCGTTTTTTCTGTATCAGGTATGAGTATCGATATTTATCTTTCGATACTCACCAATACCGAATATCGAAACTTTTGGGCGCATGGAGTTGGCTTTCGGCCGGTTAGGAAGCCGGGCAACGGGTACGAGCACTCGCCCAAATACTCTGTATCGGCACCGATTCCGATACTAGTATTGGTGCATCCCTACTTGAAGGCATCCCTCTCTTCCAGTCCTTGCACAGCAGGACTCGAGTGTGAGTGGAAGAAGCAGCACAAGGAGATAATCAGTTTGTGTGCTGACAAGGAGCATAGGAGGAGAGAGCAGAGGGACAGATCAGCCTTGTGCTGCTTCTTTCACTGTCCAGTCACAGGCTGCGGCAGGTCCCGGATGACTTGGACTTAGAGGAAGCGGGTTGAATGATGCTGGCCTTCTGACATCTAGTGGCATAAAAAAGTACTGCGGTGCACTCTGGATTGAAGGGGATAATTGCTCCAAAAAGCTGCTTTTGTTATTTTGTCTTTTAACAGACCATTGATGGTTATCTGTTATTTTCGGCTGGAGTTCTGCAGGAGAGATCAGATTGCAAAGCCTGCTTAATGAAGGTGAACCCTTTCTAACAAAGATGGCTTAATCAAACACATGCTTACTGAAGAAAGCCATGGATGCATCCTGTGCAGAATATTGATTTCTAAAATAAAGATTGGATATAAATATTTATAAAAAATTACAAATATCGAACTGTTTATAAAATGTGATAACTTAAAAAAAAAATCGGACCAAAAAGCCATTATATATATATTTTTTTCAACATTGCCACCTGCTCTGCTATGCAAGCTACCACCATGTCCTGTACACAAGCAGTGATTGTGCGTCCTCATCCAGCTCTGGTTCGTACGTAGCCAATAAAGAGATATAGAGATTTAACTGCCGCACTGCCGCCATACTGTTCTGCGGTTTGTTCCGTCACTAAGTAAAAAGAATATATATAGTAAATAAGGCTGCACGGGCGCTGAGAAATTCTCACATTATAGGATAGCTATACACGGGTTGACTGGTGACAGAACCTCCTTCATTGGAAGTGTCACTTGGGAAGAGGAGCGATGATGATATTCTTGAATCCCTTCACCCCTTTCAGATGATCGCTCTCAAAATTCACCACCAGCTTTCGCAGTCCAGATAACTGAGGCATGAGGTCTATTCGGACTTTGGCGTCCTGCCCGGGCTCCACAGGACTGTCCCTGGAGCAAGAGGAAAATAAGTTTATTAGGTTGTGTCCGGCTCCTTAATGGGAGAAGATACAAATATTGATGCTGATTGTAAAATCTGGCCAACCATGTGGAGGGCCACTGAAGTATGAGTATTAAAGGGTCAGTCTACCCCAAACTCAACGTTAATTTTTTTGGTAGATTCTGAAGGATTAAACCCACTTTGGAGTATTTTTTATATTGCTCCGGGACTCTATTGTCCTTAAATTCTTGTGCCTGCTCACCTGCCATGATCATTGTATGGGGTCTCACTCTCACTTCTGGGTGTCTTATGCTGGGCACACACCTTACAACCATCGCAAAACTTTTGTCTTGCGATGGTTGTAAGGTACTTAAAAAAAACGTACGATCTGCCTATCTTGCATAGGCAGATCGTACTTGCGATGATCGCAAGCCGCGCCCCCCCCCCTGAGGGGCGGGCTTCCGATGACCGCAATGCCGAACGGCCCGTCCGGCTTTTATCTTACGAACATGCTACACACCCGCCGAACATCGTACGATACTCGGCGGGTTTTCAAACATGTTCGTAAGTTAAAAGTCGTGCGACCTTACAGTAGTAGAGGCCGCACGGCTTCCACACACCTTACGATAATCGTACGATCGCGGGATTTCCCACGATTATCGTAAGGTGTGTGGGCACCCTTATTCATTTTATATCAAGGCGAATGCAATATCAAGCTGCAATTTCTGGGACTTGTGCATATCCTCCTGGGCAACAGTAGAGCTCAATGGACATCAATACCGGTTGGTGGTCATGAAAGGGAGGTCTATGCCATGCCACAATTGAGGCCACTCCAACGGTAATGGAAGAGCACACAGGAAGATAATTGGATATACCAAAATTAACTTCTATGACCTTCTCTCTACCCTCACAAAGTGTTTGTTTTTAAGAATCCAAATCCTCTTATACAGCTCACCAAATAGGTTTTCCCTTACATACAGTTTTCAATTGTCTAAAGAGAGTACACAATACACAAATGTGTTGTTGCAGCAAAAAAAGTGACCGTACACAATACTCCTAAATGTGGTGTTGCAGCAAAAAAGTGACAGTTCACTTATCAGCTTTTATGTTGGTAAAATGTGACAGCTACAAGTAAGAAATACGGTACTGTTCAAGGTGAGCCGCCTTGCTCATGTCCAGCGAGGAGTGGTGTCTCATGAGGAAGCTGCGCATACACCAAAAGTGAATGTTGGATATCCAACATTCATTTGTGTGAAAGCCGGATCACCCCACATCCACTTCTGGTGCATGCATGACTTCCTTGAGAGACAAGCAACATGGCTCTCCTAGCACAACGGGCTGCTCTTTTTTTCGGGATTCAACCAGCTACACCCCACCACCACCACCTGACGGGGCTCCTGAAGGCTTCTTTCTGGGGCAGATCTGAAGGGTAGGAGGGAATATCTGTCTGCACCATTCTGTTCGAAAAAAGTCAATTTTTTTATCCACTTTCATCAAAGAAGCCGGAAGGATTCTGACAGCTGCGGGCAAGCCCAGCATAGATGGGGGAATCGAGCACCAAGTGTATGGCCAGCTGAAGTATCTCTGCACTTGTGGAACTTTTAAAAGGAACTTGGAAAAATCCTTAGGGGCCAATCACACACGCCTGTGCGTTAGCGTGTTTTTCATGCTTTGCAGCATAACAAGCCATTCAATTTTAATGGGCAATTAAGAAACCTCAATGCATGAAAACAGATACCTGCACTATTTTTGGAAATGCAGAGCAGCACAACACACACAGCAGTCACATCTCACCTTGTGATACACTACAGCACGTCTTTTTTTGTCTGTATGTTTGCATTGGGGTGCCATTAAAAATAAATGGCAACAAACATATTCCCTGTGTTACTGTGCAATTGTGTTAATAGACGTTAAATGCAGATTTTAACACTTATTAAGCAATTCAAAGGTGTAAATGGGCAAACAACATTATTTTTTCTCCTTGATTACACGTCTCTCTGTAACACCCACCCACCCACATAAAACAATGCCAGTAGGATCTCTTTACAACCACACTTACAGCTTCTTGGCCACAAGGCCTTCTATAAGGCCTGCTCCCTCCACGGTAAAGTTGCAGCCCATCAGAGGTTCTGACAAAGGATTCTTCAAGGAAACCTCAGCCACCAGCTTTCTCTTCTGTTTAGGCTCCCCTAAGACCTACAAGGAGGAAAGAAGGGACAGGTTAGTCCAAGACTGGCTGCTATTCCAAGCAGGCCACTAATAGGCCACTGCTAAAAATATGCAAAGTGCAGTAACTAGCAATCAAACCATGGCAAGGACTTTCTGGCAGTTAGTAGACATAAAAAAAGGATTCATTTATTATTTTTTTAATTAATGGTATTGATATGGTGGTGAAAATTTTGCACAGCACTTTACATACAGCACATTCACATCAGTCCCTGCCCTCAAGGAGCTTACAATCTAAGGTTTAATTGAGTGATTGAATACCATATGGTACTGCACTTTGCACATCATGATTCTTCTTAGAAGCCCAATAAGACCCTGTGGCATTGCCATTTTCAGTATGTAAACCGGACAAAATAAAATAATAGATACTTTCTGTCATAGATGTACAAAAAGAGTGAAAGAGGTGGGACAAGATACCTGATTTTGGATGGTCCCAAATATTGTATAGACAACCAAAAATATAGCAAAGGGATTTTTATATACACACACCAATCAGCCCTAACATTATGACTACCCGCCTGATATTGAGTAGGTCCCCTTTTGCTGCTTCCCTGGCCTGTCGCTGCATGGGCTCCACTGGACCTCTGAAGGTATGCTGTGGTAGCTGACACTAAGCCGTCAGTAGCAGATCTTCTAAGTTGTGAGATGGGGCTTCCATGGATTGGACTTGTTCTTCCAGCACATTCCAGAGATGCTCAATTAGATTGAAATTGGAGGATTTGAAGGCCAAGTCAACACCTCAAACTTGAACCAATTTTGCAGTGTGGGAGGTAGCAATATCCTGCTGAACGAGGTACTGCCATCAGGGAATACCGTTTCCATGAAGGGGTGTACTTCTTGGTCAGTAACTATGTTTGGTAGGTGGTAGGTGCCAAAGTAACATCCACATGAATGGCAGGTTAAGGTTTTCCCAGCAGAACATTGCCCAAAGCATCCCATTGCCTCTGCCGGCTTGCCTTCTTCCCATTGTGCATCCTTGTGCCATCTCCTCTACAGGTAAGTAACTTCACCTGTCATTGATCATCAGGTTATGGCCGATCGGTTTATATAGTGAATGTTTTTTTTTCTGGGGTGCTACGAAACAGAAAATCCCTTTGATATATATTTGTCTAGAGAAAAATAGTGAACAGTTGCCCATTTGAGGCCCGTTCCTATTAGCTGCTCAAACCAGAGTGACTGGACTCTAGCATATGGATTTGTCTTTGCAGCGACTACTTTTGTTGCAGTCTGTGTCATCATTGTAGGGATATCCCTTCAGGTCAAATCTTCCCATTTGGGACACAAGAGTACAAAATAAAAAAAAAAACAGTTCTATCCCTTCTCCACTTCTGTTCAAAACAAAAATACATTTGGCTGGAGTTGGACAGAAAGCAGACATGTGGGCTCCTCCCCCTAAAGGCTGCCTGCAAAAAAATGACAGGAGGAGGGCGGATACAAGACCAGTCACCCTGCACTAGGACAGAGAGCAGCAGTGACCGGTCTTTATTACAGGAAGCTCCAAGTCTCACACTGGATTACTGCTCAGATCTGGAAGAAATACACAAAGCTCACCAAGATTCCAGGAAGAATACACATGTCTCTTGTATTTAGACAATATTACTTATCCTGGAGTCCACCATTAAATTGCCAGTTGCCTTACTAAACCCATCGTCAACCTCCTGACCTATATATTTGTTGTAGGTCAGTGACACAAAATGCACTGAAGCCAGAGGATCGGCATGACAGCCAGCTAGCTAGCACTGGAAATAACAGAAGTCAGCACAAGCAGACTACATGCTTTTATTAGGCCATGTTTTCTTTAACTCTTACGGAGTTCATGCGTTATGGAAGTGATTCACAGAGGAATGAAATGTTTCATCTGAGTAAGAATTGTTAATCTGGGATCACTTCCAGGAATGAACACGGGTGAGTTGCAGATAGAACATTTGACCTGAACCTCTATCTGACATTTAGAATACATATGACACGACACATTCTTTCCATGTACATGTCAAACATAACGATGCAAGTACAACAGAAAGAGATACATGTGTGGGTTGGATTTGTATAGCTGGGATGTGTAGACAGGTGTAAAGCTAAACTTTAGGCAGGGCCAGATTTCGCACAAGGCCCGGCCTCGGGGCAGCAGGGATGTGGAATTTCTATCTCCAACGGCCGGGACATGCAGTTCCGGGCGCCGGGTGGGTAGTTGACTTCTACATTTAGGGGTCTATTCACTATGCTGCCGAGGGCAGCCGAGTGAATGACCGATCAGTAGTGAAGTGAGCCGAACACTGTTCGGCTATTCACTTCAGGCTGATACGGCTGATTTCAGCCGTACATCGGCTGAAATCCGCCGTACATCGGCTGAAATCCGCCGTACATCGGCCTGCTTCGTGTGGCTTCGGGTCGGCCGAACATGCTCAG